AAATCATTTGAAATTCCTTTCCTCTCATATTAAAATCTTTTGACTGTGCTGTTCTGAACCCATAGCCTTAAATTACAGTTTACTTCTCTGTTACTTTGCCATCTGTGAACTTGGCACCTTCAGGAGGTTGATCTGTGGTTTAAACAGGAAAAAAAAAAAAAAGAATGAGTTGACAAAATGGTTACATTTAATAAAAATATGGGAGCTTCAGTTTGATACCATATCGTTGATGACAGTTATTTGACTCTTCATATCCAGTCATAATGAGACAGGATACTGCATAAGCCAAAGACCACACAAAGGAGGGATGGTAAGTATCAAGAGGGCGTGGAGGAAGTGGGTTACAACCTCTTTTTCTCCCAACTGTTATGTTGTGTCTTGCCTTTAAAAAATCAGTTTAAAAAAAGTGCATGAAGTCCTAATGTATTTAAGAACAACAGTAATAACAAAAAAATTAGGTTTATTCAAAGATGCATGGCTTTTTCATCTTTTTCCTTTCACAGGGGACTTGCTCTCCCCACCAAACTCTCTTCCTCTTTATTTTTTTCTCAAATGTTATTATTTCATGTCATCGTGTCAAGCTTAGTCTATTGGAAATTCCTATGTCCTCTGTAATTTAGGTTTTAAGCAACATATGATTTACCCTGTTATTAAAAAATTTCAGCTGCCTTCCCTGAGTGGAATAATTCTGGCATCCTTAATATTCTTCTATAGAAATTGTGATAAAAGAACAGGTAAATCCAATGTGTGGGGCTCCTTTAAAAAGTGAGGACCATGTCAGTGGGTTAAAAGTAAGTTGTTTTGTTCTAAATATCCTTGTTGGGGCCCATTATGCATAAAAAGGGGCCACAGCCCATTTGCAAAGCCTCTGAATGAACTCCATTCATTCTGTACTTGGAAATGTCTCTTCAGCCACAAAAAGAAACAATAGTTATAACCTAATTTCTTTGGCGCCAATATCAGCAGAGGAAAAGCCAAGAGACCATTATGAAAACTTGGTAACTTCTCTTGGTGATTATATAATTCTGTATTCATTGATCATATTTGTGTATTTAAATAAGCAGTTTTTAAAAAGATTATAAAGTGTTTTGGCAATGCTGTAATATCACACTTCATGCTTTAAGCAACATTTTAAAAATGGAGTGCTCCAAAGTAATTTGTTTATTACGGTTACTAAAGTTTATAAAAATACACTAACATGCACCCTGAGGCTTTAAGAGGAAAGCCTTTGTGTTTTAAATTACTGTTTTTTAAAATCTGATGAGAGTTCAAAACTGCAATTTTGTTAGGTAAATCCATTCATCAGTTTCCACATTTACCTGCAGAAGTCAGTTGAGGGTGTACATCTGGAAGTAGGAGTGGTGGTATGATGCGTGTTAGTACCATTTCCAAGTGGTATCCAGAGTGAACTGTAAGTGCAGTCTGACCTGAGCATATCACTTCTTGCTCAGAACCTTTCGTTGACTTCCCATTGCCCTCAGAGGGGAAGCCCACATCCCACATGATTTACAAACTCCTCTTTCTGGCTTCTGGCTTCTTCCTACTTGCCTTTTCAGCCTCATCTCCCACCATCCTTCCCTCACTGAACTTTCTTCAGCTGGCATGGCTCTTTCTTCCCACGTAACGTAGTTTCTGCATGTTCCTGCCTGGGACTCTCTCCCTTCCCACGCTGTTTGCCCCTTTCATCTGATCAATACTTATTTACTCTTGAAGTCTTAACCTTAAGGTTACTTTTTAAGGAAGACTTTTAGTTCTGTTAACTAGCTAATTAGTTGAAAGTCTAGTGTATTTGGGGCTGGTTGTATGGGGATTACTTGCTGAAGGATAGTTTGGAAGCAGATTGTAAAGCACTTCCTAAACTGTGCTTTCAAGTATTTGAACAGGAAAATGATGTCAGCTCTGTGTTCTAAAATTTTGGAGGATGGATTGAGTCTTAACACCACACTAACCCTTTTGATGATCCATCCCATCTTCGCTCTCTCCAAAGCACTGTGAAAAATCACTTGCTCTGATTGCATTGTTGGAGTCCCTGCTAATTCGTTATTGGAAAATACCAGCTGCCAGTGTTTATCCTTATGTTATCATTTACTTGGTGAGTGATACTAAATATAATATAAACTAAAACTCAAAGACCATTAAATTATTAAATAGTATATAATGTGGTAGTTAAGAGTACAGACTCTAGAGAAATCTGGTTTAAAATTCTTGCTATACCACTTATTAGCTGCATGGATGTGGACGAGCTATTAAGACAATTTACTTAGTAAAATAGACTCAAACTGAGGAGTGAGGAGATTGGGGCAAGGAAAGTAGACCCTAAAGCAGTTTGCCAAGCATGACATTTCTTTGCATTTGAGAGTGTCATCGAAAAGTGCATGTGAATCTTGCATTCTCTTCCGGAATACATTTCTGTTTGTTTTAACATAAAAATATTTTTAAGTTGGGAGAGGGGATTAAGTTGATTGGTGGTTATTGTCTCAAATTTTCTGTACAATTATTTCTCCAAAAAGACACACTATGTTTACTCTATGGCTTGAAGCACTCCCTGGTACAAAGGTGTGTGAACAAACTAAGGAAATTACCAGAAATGTAAATATAAAATCTCATTACAGCAGAAGTTCTGCATTAATCTTCAGCTGCTGCTCTGTAGTGTTCACCCCAAGAATACTATATTCTAGATGAATTTTTTAAAAATCTACCTCAACAATCTTACAAAATAAACCCATCATTTCCCTCCCCTCACCATTCCTAAAGCCAAGTTATCCTATCTTTCCTGGCTTCACCATTTTTCCAGTTATTCTCACAGAAACCTCAAGAGGCACATGGGTTATCTCTTTTCCTTGTGTCCCCTTAAATATTTTAGTTAAATATTTTAGTCTCTCTCCACAGAATCCACTTTAAACATACAATTCTTGTTGTCACTGCCTTTTCTTTTCCATTTGTTTCCCGTAGTCAGCAGTCCAGCTTTTGATTGTCTCTTGCCTGGGCTGCGTTCATGAACAGGTTTCCTGCATGCATTCTCTTTCCCCATTCACTTAGCCCGTGTACATATTCCTTCATTATCCCTCCGCCAGCTACAAGATTAAGTACTGATTTCCAACACAGGCCTTCCCCTATCACGTTATGCTGGTCTTCCTTTCCAGCCTAATCTTTCCCTACTCTTCTATATGGTCCATACTCTACAGCCAAAGTGAACTGTCCACGCTTCCCTGAGCACCTGATAGCTCTCTTGTCTCCAAGCCTCAGCACCAACAATTTCCACTGCTTCTTACTATTGTGTCCATTTTTCAAAGCTAATCTCACAAGCCCCTTTTTCCATAAATTCTTCCTTGATCATCCCAGCTGGATGTGTGAGGTCTCTCTCTCCTTTCATTTATTCATTCATGGAACAAATATTTATCAAATGCCTAACATGTATCAAATGATATAGTGCTGGGGATTTAGCAAAGACTAGGACAGAATTGGTACCTATCCTAATGGAGGTTATAATCTAACAAACAAAATAAAACTTAATAACTAATTTCACATGATATGGGTTTTTCGAGTCTGCGCAGCCTTTTTTGAAGGGTATAACTTAGCCTAGGAGACAGGTACGGCTTCCCTGATGTGAGGTATAGACAGAGATCTGGAGAATGAAGAGGAACTAGCTAGGTGAAGTAGGAGGAGAGAATTAAAAGAATTTGGGGACGTGAAAGAGAGTGTTCCAGGCAGAGGGAACAACATATGCTAGGGCCCTGAGGTGGGAATGAGCATGGCACATTTAAAGAACTGAGAGAAGGTCAGTATGAGCAGCCAGCTGGGATGTAACATGAATAATGGGGCAGGGAAAAATGAGATATTAACAAAAGAGGGATTGATGATCCATGGGCTCTAAAATAAATTAGAACTGAAGTAAGGAGAGAAGATAGAGAAAAACAGGAAGAGAGTGGAGGAAACAATGCCTGGAGACTCTAATGAGTTTGAAGAAAAAGGATGGTGATAGTTGACGGGGAGAACCTTTTGATCAGGGAGTCCCATATCTCATTCCTCATTAAACCTGGTAATATGTTCACACTTCCTATATTCTGTTGTATTTTACATTATTTATGTATATAATTGTCTTATTCTTGATACTAAATTGTTATAGATTAATAATTATAAATAATATGGTTCAATATTTACAAGTAAAAAATTTTTGCTGCTATACGTATTTCTTTCTTTGATCATTTAATGGAAGTATTTTTTCCCCATCTTATTTCTGAACTCATCTCATATGTCATTGGGCAAATACTGAATGCCACAGGGTGCATGACACTTTAGTAAGCATAAAGAAAGGCACCAGAATCAAAAGCAAACTATGTGCTACAAAAGAGTTTGTGAATTAATAAATGAGGCTATTTTCTGGAGTCCCCTCTCTTTCAAAATGTAGGAAGTGGTAGTATGTTTCGGTCCATTCACAGGATTGGAAAGAGAATGGGGACTAAAAAAGGGGCAGAAATGTAGTGGTAGGATTCAGTAAATTTGATTTCTAGCTTCTTAGTAACCTTGATGTTTAGCCTACTTGAACTTTTCTTCATTTCTCCACTCAGAACACCTGTTTGTCCCAGTGGGATTGCTTCAGTTTATGAGAACGAATGCACATACACTAAGCAAGCCAATTTCAGAAATGAGTCTCTAGGACTATTATAACCTAAACAAATGAAATGAGATACTTTTCACCTAAAGTGTCTCTTTTTAACACGCTTTTGCATTTCTCCTCCATTGACTTCATTGAGTCTGATGTGTATTTTCTTTGTATGTTTACCCTACACAGATAAAGGCAGGATGTCCCTGTTTTTTCAGTTAGATGTTAGATAAACTCACCATACATTCATTTTCAACCTCATAGATAAAAGGAAGTTTTATTTACGTGAAGAAGTCATCCACATGACATTAGACACTCAAAATTAATGGGAAATAATATTAAAAATGTAACCCTTATAAATGTTAGTGATCATCATCTTCCTTTTTTGCCCTCCCAGGTGCTTCCTGAAGGTGGTTACTCCAATGAAGCTTTCGGATATGCACGGAAAGAATGTGGTGCTCATCATACTGGCACAGCCAAGAGATATGGGTGTAAATGGCTCTTGGAGAAGACACCAAAGACAGTGAGGATCTTTGGATCACCACAGAATTGTAGCTCAGTGCCTATGGCTTTGCAAACACTACACGGTCCTATGTGAAGTCCTGTGGACGGCTTGGAGTAGAGTATATAGGTATGCTTTGTAGACGTCTTCAGGCATTATCATCAGTTTAGAGATTCAACCATTCTTTTTTATATTTTAGAGAATTAAATAATTTTGTGATGTGGTGTGAATCTGAACATGGCAGATGGTAGAAGAAATGTTGTTATATGTTTTTAAAGAAGTAAAATTTTGTGTTTTGAAATCCCTGTATATGTTTTCTTATAAAACTCCCAACAGCTTAGTTACAAAGTCAACTGTCTCAGATGTGATGTCTCTGTCCTTGCTAATCTTTTTATGAGTTCTTTTGCTATTTTATAATCTTGTGATTCATGTCTGTCCTTAAGTGTCCATTTGTCTTTGTCTTTGTATGTCATATTTATTTCAGCTACTTTACAAAAAGTAGAACTAGAACTCCCTGCATCCTGTAGCATAAAAGACAATCCCTTTTTCGTATTCTCACCCCTGATTAAGAAAAACCCTCTTTCACAAAGCTATCGCTAAAGCTCTGCCTCTCTGCTATTTGTAGTCACAGTAACTGTCCAAGTCTCACGTAACCTGCACCTTGGAGAGGGAACCTACCACCAGTTAAGGTCTGGTCCTTTGCTATGTAGGTTAAGAAACTCAGTTGACCCACTAACTAAATATTGCTTATTAACCAAATGCTGTGGTCTATGCATTGTAATAATGTGAATTTATCCTGTTATTTTGAATAAATATTATGGCATCATATCAAGGAGACTTTATCATATTAACAGATCAAATATAGGACATAGAATTATAGCAGAGATTTCCAAGACCTCAATGAGTGTAGCACATAGAAAGAGCAGTAGATTAGAAATAAGGAGGCTAATATTCTTATCTCAGTTTTATTGATATTATCTATGTATATTTGAGGCTAATCATTTAAATTCTCTGGGCTTCAGCAAGAAAGGGGAAAGATGTAGAAGGCAAGCCCATTCCTTTTCAGAGTATGATCCAGAATTTGCAGGTATCGCTTCTGCTCATGTACTTTTGGCCAGGGCTTAGTCAGTTGGTCACAGGTAGCTAGAAAGGAAGCTGAAATCTGTGGTCTGTAGCTGAAACTTGTAGGATTTTATTACTAAAGGAATTAGACTTTCGAAGGATAACTAACAGTCTTTGCCATTTGTCCCCTTTTATCAGGAAAGCAAATGCTCTCTCAATACCTAACTTCCCCCTTCACCCCTCAGCAGATTTCTGCTTAGGCCAGAATTGGGTCATATGGTCTAGGTGCAGGAAAGCTGGGGAAGCAGGAGACAGGATTGACATGATTGGCTCTGACCAAAGTTTCCAGATCGTTTTCTTGGTTCACAGCTCCCTTGCGGTCTCACTAAGTTTTTATGGTGCCAAAAGAAATACATAAGACATCCATTTACAACTTAGTAGGTATTTGAAAAAATTACACACATAAACTGAAAGAAAGTAATACCTGTCTCATTTTTACATAACCACGTATTACTAGCAGGATGTGTACACCTGTTGTGCACTCTACTTGAAATCAGATTGGACAATGCCATTTCTGGTTCTGTGTGCTTTTCATGCCATCCATGTTGGTTTGTTGGTTTGTTAATCACAGCAATCACTGAAAATCCAGCTTTGCAATGATACAGTGTGGTCTAAAGGAATGTAGACATCGAATGTACCCTAAACTAGTAGTTTGCATGCTGTCCAACGGATGTTGAGCCCCACTGTGTTTCCCTTGAAAATTAAAATATGCCATGGCCCCCCAGTGAGTTTACTTTGGCACCCTTGGATACAGGGCACACAGTTTGAGAATCATGGCCTTAGACTAATCATGATCCATTATCTGGGCCTGGACATAGTGCTCCCAAGACAAGAAGCAGGCTGCTTTTAGAAAGAAAGGAGAATGGAAATTATTCAGGAAACTAACAATTTCTGCCTCACTCTGTCCCCACTAGACTAAGTACTCTTTTAGAATGGAGGCCGGGTCTGATTTTACACACTGTTTAATGTGTAGCACAGTTCTTGGTCCTTAGAAGGAGCTCAGTATATATTTACTAAATGAATGAAGAAATGAAGACTCTATGGTTAATGATATACGTTCAATTCTATTAACCACAGAATGCCAGGTTATAGGAAATCTGTTGCCTATACAATAAGCTTCTGTGTGAATTCAAGGGCCTGGACTATGCCTTCCTCATTTCTTTCTGTTCAGTGCCCAGCAATTATTTGGCATATTATATATATATATTATTTGGTGATAGAAAAGTGTTGGCTGGATGAATGAGTGAATGTCTCAGTGAGGGCTAGTTCTATCACCAGACACCATTACAAAGGAGTTTCCTTACACTGATAATGAAAATGCTTATGAGTGAGGTCTCAATATAAATGCCCATGCTGACTGACAAGAAAGAAAAATAACCACTCCATCTTATCACTATGGATCTGAGGCTTCTGTTCCCACAGTCACTACTAGAAAAACTGACAAAAAGCAAAAAACAGAACTTTTTTGAGATGTGAGGACTTTTCTATAATAGTTTACATTGTCAGCAGCTAAACCCTTTCAAAATTCAGGATCATTACATAAAGTCTAGAAAATGACTTTTTTTAGAAGAGCCACAAACTTTGTAAGAATGGTAGATATTTGGGAAAAAATTTGTCTTTTCCCTTTTTCTTGTCCCCTCAGCTCAAATTTATTTTTCTGTATCTCGTGTTTTTGCACAGGGGAAGCCATTCAAACTCTTGGCCCTCAGTTTCCCTGATTGTAAAGGGGGTAACTCTCTGACACTCCAGAGAAGAATGTGTATGTGCTAGCATGTTAGAGTTATGTCTGGATCTGAAAATTACCTATGGTTATTTGATTTATCTAGTAGGACATTTAGGAAGTTATTTATGTATCTGTCTCTATCACTAAATCACCAGTATTTTGAAAGCAGAGTCTACGTCCTTTTCATTTTGGAATTCCTGGAGCACTGCACAGAGCCCAGCAGAGTAGGGACCCAGGATATATTTGTTAAGTTAATAAACGATTATTGAGATTTTCCCAAAAGCATTAAGCACAGTGTGTTGTTCATAATAAATACTCAATGTGTGTATTTTTATCTTGAGAGAGCCAAAATCATCTTTACTTTAATTCCTTCAGTATTCCTGAAAACTAAAGGGAATCAGGATTTATTCTCCCTGTTTTGTAAATGGAAAAGTATAGTTGTCTTTAATGATGGATACCAAATCTTGAATTTGTGTACTATAAAAGAAATAAACTAGTTAATGTATTTTTAAAACATTCTCTGTTTTATTGAAGAATATTTGTTATATATATCTTTTTTTTTTTTTTTTGGTTAATACTTTTTTCTACCAGTGTAATAAAAGCTTTCACTCAGCATTTACTGGATGCATGTTGATGTCCAGGTGCCAGACTGATGTTGCAGTCAGTTTTACATTCCTAAATTTTTTGGTTTTTTGGTTTTTTGCTGAGGAACATTAGCCCTAAGCTAACATCTGTTGCCAATCTTCTTCGTTTTTTACTTGAGGAAGATTAGCCTTGAGCTCACATCTGTGCCAGTGTTTCTCTACTTTATATGTGAGTCGCTGCCCCAAAGTGGCTGACAAGTGGTATAGGTCCATGCCTGGGATCCAAGCCCGCAAACCTGAGCTGCTGAAGTGGAATGTGCTGAATTTAACAACTATGCCAGGGGGCCAGCCCTGTAAATTTTGGTTTTTAAGTGCATTTTTGTTTCTGACCACAAAAGTAATACATGCTCATTGCAAACAATTAAATTACTATAAAAGTATTTAACAAAAATGCCAGAGATAACTTCTGTTGATAGTTCAGAGTATATTTCTACAAGTTTTTCTATGGATTTATTTACATGTAATAATTTGTTACAATTTTTGGGTGCAGCCTTTTAAGTGAAAGTGAATCATACTGCACATACTATTTTGCAATTTCCTTTTTTTTTTTTCACTTAGTAGTGTATCTAAGTGTAGAACATCTTTCAACCAGAAAATATAAATTCTCCTTATTCTTAATTGCTAGGTCTTACTTTTAGGTGTTCGTAGTACCCTATACTCCACTTTGGAATTACTCGTCACATTTATAGTTTAAATTTTTACTTGTAAATTTGTAGGTCTTGTTCCTGTTTCCCTAAATAGATTGCAAATTCCACACCGAACATACACTGCCTGAAACATATACACATAACAGCAATAGATGCTATGAATAAATGAATGAATGAATGAGTGAATGATGGATTTCAATCCCAAGACTTTCTTTACAAAGCCTATGCAATTGCCGCATATTCATACTGCCTTACCTTTGTGGTTCTTTTATATGCTATAGGAATTTTCAAATTCTTGTTATTTATGATACATTATTTTCAGTTTTGTTTAGCATTTTTAGGTCAATGTGATGACAGAGAAATAAGCATTTTAGATATTCAAGAGTTTAGGGATAATAACTACATAGTGAGAAAAATAATCGTATTTTAAATCTTTTAAGTTATGGAGCTTACTAATTTTCAAAATTAAAGAGATGATAAGCATTCACAAAGCAGCTTTATTTCACTTTTCTGACATATTTCTTAGTCCATTCTCTTTCTACCCATTCAAGAAGAATAAGTTTCTAAACCAAAATAATTACATTAAATTAAAGGATAAATAGTAGAGACTACTAGTTATCCCACGGTAGATGTTTCCATGGTGGTAAGATCTCAGAGTTGTGACGATTGGCAATGGATGCTGGATTTCTAGCTTGCAACCAGGCATGGCCAATAGTATGCAAGTGGAAGTGTCTTGTGGCAGGTTTCATGAACATTCCTCAGGTGTGTGCCCCTTCACTCTTGTCCTCTGACCCTTTCTGTGAAACCGAAGACTTGCACGACAAAACATTAACGTGAATAGATCGCAGGGGTCCACTTGGTGGCATAGTGGTTAAGTTTGCACACTCCACTTCTGCAGCACAGGGTTCACGGGTTCAGGTCTGGGTCACAGACCTACATACCACTCATCAAACCATGCTGTGGTGGCATCCCACATGCAAAATAGAGGAAGAT